TCAAGGAATCGTGGGGATCTGGTCAATGTTCCTACCAGCGGTGACCATGGTGAACTAAAAAGCAAATAAAAAGGAATGTCCTAGGCTGAGTAAAACACCAGGAATTTCATATTATCCTGGGAAGTAGTCAGGGAGGCTCATAAAGGCAAACATTGAATTTCTTGTTATCTCAGCAGAAAGGTACCCAGAATAGATTAAATCTGATTTATGGAAAGAAAAAAAATGAGACATGTGACTGCTGTAGTTGCAAACTCATGCTCAGCACATGTGAAAGAGTAAGGCTGCTGAGTAGTGTTGCATATCCTTTTGAAGTTTGAGATCATGAATTTAAAATGAAGTCATTCAGATGGTTTGTGTGATTTTCCTCTGGCAATACTCCGCTGCTCAGGTGCAGGCATGGTACCCTATGTGACTATAGGGTTCAGTCAGGTTGTGGTTTTTCTAGGAAAGTATGTTGAAAGTTGAGGTGGGCAAGGGAATGATTATAATGATGAATCATGGGCTCTAACTAGGACCAAGAAAGAAATGAAGAATAGATAAGGACGAATTGGTGGGATTAGCAGATGAGTGTTCTTGATGAGGCTGAAGAATTACCGCAGATAGGGCACTAGCACAAGGAACTGGAAGGCTAGGTGGTGATGAATGGACAGTGGAGTATTATATTTTCATATTTCAAAGATGAAGCTCTTTTTGGGTGATTAAAGTGTTGACGGTGTGACCTCGGAAGTGTTGGTTTAGTTGAGGAGAAAGTTGCTGGACTTGAGAAGGTAAAAGGATTGAGAGCTCAAGGTTCTGAATAGATCATGAACTCACCCATGGAGTTCAAGGATGGTGCCAGGCATTGGAAAGGGCAGGGAAAAGATGACATTGACTGGGAGGTCAGAAGATGACAACAATCCAGATGAGTGGGGTGGTAGATCTGAATAATAAGAGCTGTAGAGGAGCAGAGATCTTTGCAGGAGGGAGGAAAACCATTAGGAAGTTCAAGGTCAACTCTAGGAACAGTACAATCCTTTTGACAGACATCCTTCTGAGGGCTGAGTGAACCACGTCAAACCAATATCCACGAGAAGCCTTTTAGTTGGGAATGCTGTATTACAGGCCTTCCCACCAGGGGGCGCGATCAGCAGCGGAGAGCCTACCTCCAAGCAGTCCCTGGAGGCCAGGAAAGTGTCTGCGCTTGAGCTCTGAGGACCCCTAGGGCTCCTCTAAGGTATTGCAAAGAGCTCAGCCATCCTCTGGCACAGCCACATACACTTGCAGAAAGATGTTTTTTTGGTACAGTGTATGTAAATCTTGAACAAAGAAATCCAAATTCTTAAATTATTTTAAAGAAGTTACTGAATTAGGCCAGGCATGGTGGCTTACGCCTGTAATCCCAGCACTTTGGGAAGCCGAGGCGAGCAGATCACCTGGAGTCCGCAGTTTGCGACCAGCCTAGCCAACATGGCAAAACTCTAGCTCTAGTGAAAATACAAAAATTAGCCAGGCCTTGGGGCACTTGCTTGTAATCCCAGCTACTCAGGACACTGAGACAGGAGAATCTCTTGAACCCAGGAGGTGGAGGTTGCAGTGAGCTGAGACTGCACCACTGCACTCCAGCCTGGGCAACACAGTGAGATTCCATCTCACAAAAAAGTAAAAAAAACTTACGGAATTATTGGAAGGCCTAGTTATTATGTATTTGCTCAACAAAAAGTGACAAGTACAGCTTCTATCATGTGGAATTTGGTGGCATTTCTCCCTGGGTAAAAGGGTTTTTCAGGTTTTTAAGTGGTAACACCCATACCTAAAAATATTCTTCCCAAATCACTTTTTGTAAGCATGAGATAAGAAGAAGAATACAAACCTGGAGTCAGAATTGTAGTAGTATCATCAACATCAACATGAGTGTTTATTATGCACCAGAAACTGTTCTAAACATTGCACATAAATTCACCCATTTATTCCTTCTATACTCTTGTAAGGTAGGTGCTATCATTAACACTATTTGACAGAAAATAAGGTCCAGAGAGAGGTGATACAGCTCCTGGATGACCGTGTTGGTGTTGTGGATTTGAATTTCATCTTTCCCTTAGCCAGAACAGTTTATGTTATGCCACAAGAACAAATACCCACCGAATCTCACACTTTAATTCAACAGAGGGTACCTGTTCTGTATGGGTCAGCAGGGGGGTTCAGCTTATTATGCTAACTCAGGGACTAATGCTGACCTAAGTTTGGTTTTGATATGTGCTTTCATTGTCATGATCAGTAATCACTACCAAGACAAAAGAGCGTGCAACAGAGGCTAAACTGGAAATGAAATGATTCTGCTTGAAAGCAATGGATGTCACTTCACACATTTCACTTACCAAAGCACGTCACATGCCGCTCCCAACTACAAGGGGGCAAGAAAATTGACTTTTTTTTTTTTTTTGAGATGGAGTCTTGCTTTGTTGTCAGGCTGGAGTGCAGTGGTACGATCTTAGGTCACTGCATCCGCCTTCTGGGTTCAAGCAATTCTCCTGCCTCAGACTACAGGTGCAGGCCACCACGCCCAGTTAATTTTTGTATATTTAGTAGAGACAGTGTTTCACCATGTTGGCCAGGATGGTTTCCATCTATTGACCTCGTGATCAGCCTGCCTTGGCTCCCAAAGTGCTGAGATTACAGGCGTGCACCACTGTGCTCAGCCACAGTAAATGCACTTCTTTTTTTTTTTTTTTAAATAAAGATGGGGTTTCACCCTGTTGGTCAGGCTGGTCTTGAACTCCCAACCTCAGTGATTCACCCACCTTGGCCTTCAAAGTGCTTGGATTACAGGCGTGAGCCACCATGCCCGGCCAGAAAATGCACTTCTACCATGAGCTTATTAACAAGCAAACCAGACCGTTTGGCATTAATGATTAATACAAACATTCTCAGACCCAGAGCTGTTCATGTCCTCCCTTGGCTTAGCTTCCCTATCCACAAAAAGAACATGATCGTTTTTTAAGAACCTCTTATTGTAAGGATCAAAGAGCCATATTTATTACAGCTATTATGAGGCAGAATAGCCCTGTAGCCCTCCTTGTAGGGCTGTCTGCAGAACGGCCTTTGTTCAGACGAAGGTAGATGCCAATCTTTCTGTCACTCACACCCTGAGGTTTTGAAGGATATAGTTTTTACTCCAATCAACAACATGCTATAGTGGTCCTGGGCCTTGCTAGAAGGTTCGGTCTGGAACCACCATGTTTAGCTCCTGTTGAAAGCCCCAGACCACTTGAGCTTGAGAGAGATCGTGAGGGTCTCCTTCTTCCAGGTCCTCCAAACCATCTCTTTAAATCAAGTCAGGCCACCAGGACTGCTTACTTGGCTCCTCCGAGTTTCCACAGACACTCCCAGGATGTCTGCTGTGAGTCAGGGATGAACTAAGCCATAGAAATTCCTCTGCCAACCACAAGCGCTGAGGGTAGTACAAAAAATAACCCTAAAAAGAGCATTTCCCAAACTTCTCTGCAAACAGTGGTAACCACATTGCCAGTCGCCCTACAGAGTGCTTTGCTAGGTCCTTTTCTATGGGCTCTTTGACCCTTCCCCACTCCTCTGCTAGACTAGGCAGTGCACTTCGTGAGAGTGGGGACTTTTTTTAAAAAAATAAAGATGGGGTTTCACCAAAAATAAAAAAATTAAAAATTAAAAAAAAGATGGGGGTTTCACCATGCTGGCCAGGCTGGTCTCGAACTCCTGACCTCAAGTGATCTGCCCATCTTGGCCTCCCAAAGTGCTGGGGTTATAGGCATGAGCCACCATGCCAAGCCTTTTTTTTTTTTTTTCAAGAGACAGAGTCTCACTCTATCGCCCAGGCTGGAGTGCAGTGGCCTAATCTCGGCTCACAGCAACCTCCGCCTCCAAGGTTCTAGCAATTCTCCTGCCTCAGCCTCCCGAATAGCTGGGACTACAGGTGCCACTTCTGGCTAATTTTTTGTATTTTAGTAGAGATGGGGTTTCACCGTGTTGCCCAGGCTGGTCTCGAACTCCTGAGCTCAGGCAATTCACCCACCTCGGCCTCCCAAAATGCTAGGATTACAGCTGTGAGCCACCACAGCCGGCCGCGGGGAATGTCTTTTCATGTGTTTGACTATGTGCCTGGCACACAGCACGTTCTCAAATGTTGCCCGCATTAAGACGCTTCTCAGGAGTCTTCATGTAAATTCATACATGATGACTTCCTTGTAGAATTGTGTCTATGAACATGCAATCAGGCCAATTGAACTTCAGGTCCTCACAGTCTATGAAGCCAAAAAAAGGCCCAGACGGGGGGCGGGGGGGGAGTAGGCAGAGGCGGAAAAGGACATTTGAGGCAGAGGGAACAGATGTCCAGGCAGGAAAGCACAAGGTAACGGGGCACTGGGGGCGCACCACTTTTCCTGGAAGGGAAAAACGGCAGATGAGAGAGGGAGGTTGGAACCAGTTACCAGTAAAGAGGTCTATGGTCAAAGTCCAGAAGGAAGAAACAGCAGGACAGGGGACAATGAGAGGAAGGAGGAAAGGAGGGCACGATGTATGAAGCTCTACAGCCAAGAGCGCTAATGAAAGGCAGGATGGGTGGAGGAAATGTACTGTGTTCCCAAAGCTTCCTCTTACTGATGGGTGCACCCGGGCCACAGAGGAGTAAACCGAACCTGGCTTCTCGGTGCCTCACCGCCCAGAGAGGAGGCGGAGTCCCACCTAGTCCCGTCACGTGGCCAGAGGCGCCCTCGGCACGTGACCTACCTCGCGCTAGGCCAATCAGCCTCTGCAGGGGCGGGGCCGCCGAGTCCGCGGGGCGGGGGCCTCCGTCGGGCCCGCCTCTTCTCGCGAGCCTTGCGGCGGTCGCTCTGCAGCCGCCCACGACCTGGAGCGAAGGTCTCGCGAGGCTTGGGCGCTGCGGCGGCAGGAGGAGGACGGGGAAGGACGGAGCCGAGCCGCGGCTGCCTCCCTCGCTCACTCCCTCGCGCACTCGCCCGCCCCCTCCCTCCCTCCCCTCCCTTCCCCAGCCCCGGCTCTGGCCCTGGCCCATTCGCTGTTGGGTCTTCCGCTAGGGAGGATGTCGGGCTCGTCGCTGCCCAGCGCCCTGGCCCTCTCGCTGTTGCTGGTCTCTGGCTCCCTCTTCCCAGGGCCAGGCGCCGCTCAGAACGGTAAGCGGGGCGCCGGGGGCGGGCCGGGCGGGGGCAGAAGGGTGCCCGGGCCAGAGGGGGCCCGGCTCTGGCCCGAGGAGACGCTGGAACTCGGGGAACGGGGCCGAGTGGGCGTCCGAGGGGCTGCGGGTCCGAGAGGAGGAGGTGCCTGGCGCGGGTGTGAGGACCGGAGGCGCCCGTCCGAGCGGCGGGGGCGTCCGGGGTGAGCCCGAGGTGTTGCCGACTCGGAGGCTCCACGTCCTGGGGCTCGTCGCGCCGGGTCGGCGAGGGGACACGGAGGAAGCCGACGTGAGGAGCTGGAGTAGCGGGGGCGGATGAGGAGGGGGCGCAGCTCTTAGGGAGGATGGCACAAGACCGGCGTTTGTGTTCCGGGCGACGGGGATGGTGGAGTCGGTCAGGTCCCCCGGGAGCTGGGGTCGTCCAGGATTCCGCTGAGGCCCCGTAGGACTGGTGACATCCTTAAAAATAAGGGAGACATTGGGGGGAAGGGAGTCCTGAGGAACGCTGATGGTGAGCTGAGTACTAGAGCCCAAAGGAGGGGGTAAAGAATCAGGGAACCTTGAATCTGGGGATAGAGGGAAGGTGGGTGGGAAGATAAGGGAGTGGGTTGACTGCAGTAGGGGACCTGGAGAGAGAAGCAGCAGTGTCTCTAAATGAGCTGGGGGAAGAGGGCTGGGTTTGCTAAAGAGGGTGGAGTGCTGGGCATTCGAGGGTAGTGGTTGGGAGAGCAAAAAGGAGTTTCTAAATAAGGAGAGGAAAATGAGCAGAGGATGGAGGGAAGGGGTTGGAACCGAGGTAGGGGAATATTTATTAGAGAAGTAAGGAGGTCTGGGTATAGAGATGGGGGTGGGGGAAGACAAAAAATCAGGGAAGGGAGTAAAATGCAGGCAGTCGGGGGTGTAATGTTGGTTTGCAGCGTGGAGGATAAATTAGGGGAGGGAGGAGTTGGGAAGTGGCAAATGCTGTATGATATTGGTTGGGCCTTTGGGAGGACAGGGACACAGAGCTGCAACTAACTGCAGTGGTGGGATTGAGGGCAGTGACTGGCGACAGGGAAATGGGGAAGTGGATTTTTGAGATGTAAAAGTTTCAAGAGAGAAGAGACGTTACTTATGAGAAACATGAAGTGGCCCCTGGGAGGTGGTACAGTAGAAACGAGAGAATTACTGGGTTTGGGATTGAAGCTCCTTTGAGAAGATGAAGAAATGGTGGGGAAGCATGGGCATAGGGACCTACACAGAACAGATTCTGATTGAAGGCATGTGTTAAAAATCAGCTGCTGAATTGGTCTTTAAGAAGTGAGACTAGGAATGTGAACCTGTTTCTACTCTTGTGGAAACAGCCACTGAGAGATTAAAGAATATTTTTTCTATGAAGGAATTTATGGGAAGTCAGTACTGAAGAGTGAACTATAAATTATGTTTTTTGCTAATCTTTCAGTGTTTATTGTTATGCTGGAATAATTTAAGATTACTCTTGTTAGAGGGGCTGCAATTTAATTTTTAAAAATCAGTGATAGATCCAGTGGAGTTTGAGAAACTGGGTTTAAGATGCTGAATATTAGAGGGCAGATATGTGTGTTTGTAGTACCAAATTTCATGCTTCATGGCCTTGGATATCACTGCAAGGGCCAGGAAGGAAACATTTTTTTCTGTCTCTAGCACTGAATATGCTAAGTGTATTGGGTATTTTTCCTGTTTTCCTTCAAGCATGAGTCCACAGTGGAAGGGAGGGTAGAGCGAGTCTTATTTGTCTTATCAGTTTTTCAACTGTGTCAACAACATGACTTAAAGGAGCCTAATGCTAATTTTAGCTGTTCAGTTTATGGTAATAGCATAGTTTCATTTTGCACAATAGGTGAGAGATTCTTGATCTTAACATGTTTAATCTCTGCTGGCATAAGCTTTTTTCCTATGATTTATAATACGGCAAAATTGTAGTTTCTTAGCAACTAAAGCAAGGTTTCTGGATAGGCCTGTAAAGACTCATCTGTCTGCTCTCAGTGATACGTGTTCTAAATACAGCATAGAGCGGCCTTTCCCTAGAAATGAGCTTGAATTCAGTCACGTGACATGACTGATGAAATGAAGCTGAGCTGCTGGTTGACCCAAATGAATGTAAATTTAATTCAAGGAAGAAATGGCTATTTTTGAGTTTGAGTTCATATAGTTAAGGATGCCATTTTATAGCTTTCTGTAGTATGTCCTATAATATTCAGGCTTTCAGTTGGTAATAAATAGCCCTGCAATTACCTGACTTCATGTCATGGAGTTTGTGTTTTCTTACAGTGCTTTCAGAAAGGGATACCACGTCTGATGTTGAAATGTTGGATTTTCTATTTAAATTATTGGAGAAAAAAGAAACAAGTGTCTCTGAATTGGGAATGTGGTAGTTTAGATTGAATATAAATGTTTTCAAAAGGCGTTTGTTTCATTATTCCTCAAATGAAGAATTTGGCCCGTATGAGTCTCAAGGTCTCTTAACAACTTCTGACCCATTGCTGTGGGCATTTGGGGCTTTCATTTAGATAGATTTTGTTGCTCATCCAAATATTTAAACTTGTAAGACCAGTTCCAAGTAAAGTCCTTATTTATTGACTTCTGTATGTATCATCAAAATGGTAGTTTAAGGAAGGAACTTGTTCTAAAAAGTAACTTTGTAAGACATTCAAAACAGTTGAGTGAGTGCGAACAAAGCAGTGTAATGTAATCAAGAGTACAGGCTTTGAATAGTGACAGACCTGGGTTTGAGTTCCAGCTCTCAATAGCTGAGTGACCTTGAGTAATGCAAACTTCAGTTTCATCATCTGTAAAATGGGGATTACAATAATGTCCATTCCCTAGGGATAATGTGAGGATTAAATGAGTTAATGGACGCTTAGATTTCAGCCTGGCATATTGTGAGTCTCAGTACACGTTAGCTACTACTATTATCCTTTGAAGAGTAGCATTATTCATTTTTTCCCTCATATATTGAAAACTTGATTGTTAATGCTGCTGTCATGGTAAATAGGCCATTTGAAGGCCCCACATAGAGATTTGTGCTTTTGCTTATGTAACTTTCTCAGAGAAGTGACCAGCTGCACTGTGCCTGCCATTGCAAATTCTGGTGAGGAAGTTCATATTTTCGTTTGAGTTTCTTTTTTCGTTTGTTCATATTTTCATTAGAGAGACTTTATGGCTTTTTTCTTTTTTCTTTTTTTTCAGTGAACCAAATCTTTCAAATGGGCCAGGTATCACTTTCTCATAGAATATTATTGTTGTGAATAAGAGAAATAGAGTGTGGTACCTGGCACACAGTGGGAGTGTTATACATGTTAGCTGAATTAATGAATGTGGAGTGGTGTATAAAAACGTAATGTATTCATATTGGAAAATATGACACCACATAATTAACACTGTTCAATGGAGGAAAATAAGGCATCTAATGAATCTTATTTTTAACTATCTAAATTTTAGAAACCATTTTGCTTGGGTGATACTAGATAGTTGTAAACATTGTGCTTTGTAATAATGCCAGTATTTGCATTAGATGATTCATGGATCTTTTTCTTTTCTGTCAAGGGCTGTTTGCTTTAGTGGTTTGGCAATTTTCTCTCCCTGAGAACGTTTTTAGAGGTGTATTTGCTAATTGATTGTGTGTTTCCTCTTTGAGTGAACTGAAATGAGCAACAGAAGACAAATCTTGTCTATGGCAGCTGTGGCACAAATGACATGCCAAATGTCAAGCAATAAATTTTGAGATAATCCAAGTAAGATTTGACCAGAAGAAATAGTTTGCCTTGAAATAAAGCCCTTCCTAAGGAGATCACAGGCTTTCAGTCTCTCGGGCTACTGGCTAAAATGTCACTACTGATATAATGGGGCACCCAGGCATGAGAAATTGGTTGGGTCTGGGAGGAAAGGCCATGTTACTACATTAGGACCCATTCCCTGGGTTTGTTTTACAAGGTTACTGGATCCAAATTAGAAAGAGATACAGATGGGTTTTTGTGTTGCCAGACACAATAGAGCTTAACCTGTTATATACCAAGATTTAAAACAACAGAGGGAAATAAAAACCCTTAAGTGAGATTGAAATTCATTACAGGTCTGACTTCACATGAGTTAATACAGATTCTTACAAGAAATTAGACTATTTTGAGGGAATCCTTTTGTTTTTTCTTATTAATACAGATTTGATGTGAAACATTTTCTCTTGTAGAATATCCCTTTAGACATTAATAAAAATATTATCTTACTTTAAACTTTAAAATAAAGTTTAAATAAAAATAATTGCTTAAATTTAAGAAAATTATTTAATTGGGCCTTGAAAGATGACCAAAGTGCTCTGTCAGTTTGGACATTGTTTTTCATTTAATTAGTCTGAGGTGCTTGTTAAAAGTAAGATGTTTTGTATGTAAACTCTGAAACTTTGCTGGATCTATGTAAAGGTTTTTTTTTTTTTTTTTTTTACGATTTGGGAAGGGATAAAGTGCTAATATGTATTGAAGTATGTAGAAAAACAGTGATTGACCATCTTGCACACAAGAAATGTTCAACAAAAGTTTGAATAAAATTATGCAAATAAGTTTTGGAAAAAGTGAATTTTATGAAAATTGTTCTGATGTATTCTATTCAATTTATTGTTTGCAGTGAGAGCACAATCTGGACAGGATCAGAAGTAGAGAATGAAGTTGTAAGAGAAAGGGAAAGACAGAAGAAAGGCTGCAGTAGTACGAGGAGAAAAGCAGGATGCAAGAATGAGGAATGAATCTTCGTTTGAGGAGCATCCGGAAAAATAGAATCTGTCAGAAAGAGTAAATAGACCAGGGACCTCTAAAGTAAATTCACACATCAAAGTTTAAATAATGGTGGAGAATCACCTCCTGTGAACAATTGGCTTAACTTTCAGTGTGCCTCTTTAAACAAAACATTATCATTTTAAACAAAGTTTTAAAATGCCATTGATAATATGGAATTTAATTTTAAGCACCTTAGATAATGCGTTTTGTAAGCTTGTTTTTGAGATTTTTATGGATTTTTTTTTCAAAATTCCTAATTTTAGTTGGTAAGGATTAGCTTTGGGAAGACAGGAAACCCCTACAGTAAAACTAATTGGTTATAAATGGTTATATATTTTAGGCTCATATACATAATGAAACTTCATACTGAATTTAAAAGTGATCTTGTGTAAAAACATTCTAGTGATATTGATGTCTAAATTTAAAAGAGTGAATACACAAGTAAAATGTATTGCTTTTTAAGGATCTATTCAGTTTAGGAAGGAGAGTCAAAATTTGTATTTAATTTCAATTTATTATATTGTCTGAAACTGAAAGTAGACTTAACTTTGGTTTGCTTTTGTATATATACAAAGACAAACATTTATCAATTGAGCCTTATTAATTTGAGGTTATTTTTACTTGATTGCTCAGAACTTTTAATTTGTCTATCTGTATAGAAATGGGGTTTTCTAAATATTTACATAATTTCTACATATGTAAATTTACTTGCACAGAGTAAGTTAGGGGAGACATTTAATATTCCTCAGATATCTGCTGGTTTTTTGTTTTGTTTCTTGTTTTTCAAATAAATAAACTGAGTGTTATCTGTGCATTAATACAGAATGTGGTCAGCTTGGTGGAAACATCTTGTATTGAGTTTCTTGTACTAAAAAGTACCAATTGATATTCTCTTGCATTTCTGAAACAATTATGGAATGTTTTAAGACTAGCCTTTTTACCAAATAATCTTAACTGCTGGAGTTTTATGATATGCTTATGATATTTTCCAGATATATGTCAATTTGTGTTTTTTGTTTTTGTTTTTGTTTTTGAAACAGTCTTGCTCTGTTGCCCAGGCTGGAGTGCAGTGGCGTGATCTCGGCTCACTGCAGCTTTCTCTGGTTCAAACAATTCTCCCTGCCTCAGCCTCCTGAGTAGCTGGGATTACAGGCGCCCACCACCACACCTGGCTAATTTTTGTATTGTTAGTAGAGATGGGGTTTTGCCTGTTGGCCAGGCTGGTCTCGAACTCCTGACCTTAGGTGGTCTGCCCACCTTGGCCTCCCAAAGTGCTGGGATTACAGGTGTGAGCCACTGTTCCTGGCTGAAATATGTCAGTTTGGATATGCTTCTCTTGCCTTCTTAAAAATCATTGGTATACCCAGGTATTACTTCAAATTCACTAGACAATGAAATATAAATGAGATGGTATGAAATCACTCTGAAAGTATTGGGGTTGTATATATTATATAAGTTTCTATAATTAAAAAACATTAAGTCCCAAAACGTACCAACAGTTTTAATCATATCTAAATGGATACATACTACACGTGATTAAATATAAAATACTTGATGAAATGTCACATCCTTTCCTGATGGAATAGTCATAAGGCATGGTATTTCATGTGCAGGAAGATACAGGAAAACAAACAAGAGTGTGTTTGCATATATAAATGGTTATGCCTTTGAGATTCTTTTCTACCTGATGATAGTATTTGGAAACCATTGGACTAGTTGATCTGAATTTCCTTTCAGTTCTAAACATTATTAATTCTCTTGCCCTTACAGCTTAGGTAAGGTAGGTAAAAGGCTCAGAGATGATAACACTTTCTGTTTAAAAGTTTTTAGAAACTTACTTTTGGATATAATGAAGATTGGCTTGGAGGCATGCACTGTTTCGAAATCTAACTGCCTCTAACTCTACTTCAGACAGCCCTTGCAGTTCTTGTTTCAAGGGAGGCAGAACAGTGTCTGTTATACAGAGATCTCATATTAAACTTGCTGGGAAAATTGCCAGTGTGAATAAAGAAGTGAACATTCTTGCCAGTTAGATAGGTATTTTGTGATCTTTCTGGTGGTTGAAAGTGGTTGACTAATGAAGAGACAATGAAACACGCTTAACTATTTGTATTTTTATATTATTTTTTGAGAAAAAGTTTGTTTTTTATATATGAGTTAGTTTCTGCTGTCTCTTATGCATTTTTTAAGACCTGGGAATTGTCCTTTATTGTTGAAGAAGACAACCCCAAGTGTTACCTGAATTAAATCCAAGCAAGTTCCTAGATTGTTACTCCTTAGAAACATTGTGTTTAAAGGTCTCAATTTGTAAACATTCATTGTACTACTTTTGCTATCTGTTAGATAGGTTCATTTCCTTGCCTTTTTTTTTTTTTAAATTTTTAGAATTTCAAACATGTATAAAAATAGATCAAATAATGTAACAAACCCCTGTGTATTCATCATCTAGTTTCAGCTGCACCCTTCTACTTACTAATTTTTAAATAACCTAAAAATCACATTGCAAAGTAGAATTTTCTAGGACCTGAAATGCAGTCAGTAGGGGTTAGTTTATGTTAGTAAAATAGAATATTTGTCTCACATGTAATCATGTTGAAATTACTTTAAAAATAAGCTCTTTAGAAAAAGGCTTTCAAACTTTTTTATCTGTGACCCAGATAGAGTAGTAGCTTGTGACTAATAGAAATTTGTAACAAAATTAGACAAACATGTAACGTTTTGTATTCTTAATCTGTGTGAAGGTAGTTAAGAGAACCATAGAGACCTTCTGAATAGAATTCACAATTCATTCATGGGTCATGAAACTCAGTTTGAAAAACAGCATTTTCAGGTATGGGTTTTTGTTTATTTTTTGTACCATATTAGTCTGGAATAATTATGATTTTTGTTAATAAGGATTTTCACTAGGCATTTATCAGTAACATCAGCACATACTGTTACTGGTCATTATGAGTAAAGAAAATGTAGCATTTTTTATTTATACATTAGCTGTTATATATATTGATTTTTTTCTATTAGAACGTTAGAAACGGGGAAGCCACAGTAATTTGAATATCATAATCAAGACAACTTTTCCAGCATATTTAGTTGACCTTTCTTTTAAATTAGAGCTTGTGTTTCTTATTCCTGAGCCTTTTGAGTTTAGTACAGCATTGGGAGTACTAACATTTATTCTAAGCCGAATGCTTGACTCGGCTGCTGTAGTCTGAGGCACATTTCTGGTGAGTACAGATTGACTTAAATACTGGCTGAGAGAGGAGATCCAGAACCATCAGTGAAGAATCAATCTGCCGTTTACATTTAAGATCCTAGAGTAGGGGGATTACTTCTTAGTTTTTAGACACTGCTTCCTGGAGGGGGAATAAAAAGGCAACAAGATGTCTGCCTTTGTTGGCAACTATCTGTGAAATACTTCTAAATTCATAGAGTGAAGGAATGTGTTAAATTTAACTTGAGGTTTTTTGGTTATATGAGTTTAGCAGGTTTGGGAACCATTGTGGAACAAATGGAAAAAAATAGCACAGCAGCTCCAGCATTGAAATTATATTCATTAATGCTGAATCTCAAATCATGCATCAAGGGAGATGAAATAAATGGCCTTAATGCAAACCAGGAAACTGCTACCTGGAAAAGAGCAAGTATAAAGAGGTTTCAAATAGCTTGCAGTGAACTGTCATTGAATTACCCTTACACAAATCACACAGTGATCACGTATCAAAAGTGTGGTGCTACCTATCGGTGTTACTGTTTTCTTACTAGGATTAAACTCCAAATAAGAATACTTTCTAATCACATTTTGGAAAAGATATAGAATCTATGTTGATGGTAGCTTAAGATTTAGGAGAAAAGCTGAAGGAGCTAAACTTAGGAAAAGGGAGCGCTAGGGGGTTGTGATTATCTATTAATACTTTCAAGGTAGCAGTGTAAATGAAGTAAGGGAATTAGGCAGTCTCCAAAGATGGATGGGCTATATCAAAGAGCAGTGGCCTAGAGCACAGGGAAGAAAAGCATAGGTTTAGTATTAAGATGATTTAATGAAACTAACAGAAGAATAGAGTTACTTGCGCTCATTGTCAGAACCACTGTAAGTAGGACAAAGAGCTGGTTGAGAGGGCACTCAAAACCAGAAGTGATCTCTTTCTGTTATATTTAGTACTGTGCTTGTTTAGGAGCTCAATGAGAGAAAAATCTTTATGGAAATGAATATGAAATGAAATGGGCTTTTCAAAAGTGTGTTTTTCTATTGTTTGTTTTTAAACAGGAGTTTGCTCTGTTGCATAGGCGGTAGTACGATTGATCATAGCTCACCGCAGCCCCAACCTTCCGGGCTCAGGTGATCCTCCTGCCTCAGCTTTCCAAGTAGCTGGGACCACAGGCACGTACCATCATGCTTGGCTAATTTTTAAATTTTTTGTGGAGATGAGGTCTCCCTATGTTGCCCAGGCTGGTCTCAAACTCCTGGGCTAAGGTGATCCTCCTGCCTCTGCCTCCCAAAGTGTTGGGATTACAGGCGTGAGCCACAGCCCCTGTCAGCCAGTGTTTAAAGATCAGAAATTAGTGTTTCTGGCTCTAAACTTCAGTGATTATGAATCCAAGAAAAATGGTAGATTAACTTTGGAATCCATTAAGGTAGCTTTTACGACTTGCCTGTGATATTTAAAACAGAATTTCATCTACTGTAACCTTCAAAAGCAACTTCTTTTTGTTATCAAAAAGCTAAACTATGAAATTCTTCCAATATGTGTTTAATACAAAGAAGGCTAAATAATAAAGGGTCCATTAGACTTTAGATGCAACCTAGTAAAAGTATAACCTTTGGCCATTAGAAATTAAGCTGTTTCTATTATATGGTAAATATGTGCTATTAAGAACCTGGAAAAGGACACTTTGATCTTAACTCCTAAGACTTAATTAGTTAAAATTCTGCTGTGATAGATGCCACAGTCTGTTCTTTAGAAGTGTGAGCTGGTGCTGTAACACCTTGGTAGAGATGGGAGCTCGCTTTAATTAGTTTGAAGAGTGTAGGGTTCTCAGATAAA